CGATCGCCGTGAGCACCGCGGCGCAGCCGTAACGCAGCCGTAACGCACCCATAACGCGCCGCAGACGGACCCGGTGGAATCTAGGGGTTAGCCTGCAACCTAACTAGGGATGCCAGAAACTGACCATGATCAAATTCGAAAATCGGACAGCCCTGGCGAATATTAATCGATTATTCGTCGTCGTGTTTACACATACGTGAGAAGCTATGACGTCAGAGGGAGTTTCCGTAAAATGAGAACTGTGCCGTAGCGGTGTTGCTAGGACTTCTAAACTAACTATTATAGCTGTTTATAAGGTATTAAATAGAAAGTCATGACAGAGATAAGGAGGAGAAAAGGCTTAAGGAAGTAGGCAGGGAATACAAAATGTCGAAATCATCTGTTCTCTCGCGATGTCGAACCAGCAGATGAGAAGGGAGGTCCCACTATCTGCACAGCGGGAGGGAACGAGAAGAGGATAAATCGAATCGAAAAGTAGAGCCCGGGCCTCTTTTCTTCGCTGCAGCACCCTGAAGACATCACCGGCTTTGTCTCTTCCTTACCTATGCTTGTTCTTTAACCACGTTACTTAATTAAAGTACCCATTTGAACCTTTTCAGAGACTCCATTAGTCTCATTATTTTAAGTTTCTTTCCTGGGAGCGAGAAGATCACGATTTATCAACACCGCTCAGCATAAGTTACCATGGAGATCTAGCCCGCTAAAAAGAGAGCCAGCGTCGTAGGACCGGAAAGCCCGAGTTTTCCCTGAAGTCAGCCGGCTAAGCGAAAATCCGGCTTCGTAGTACATATTGTTTGGTGGATGCAGTTTGAACCAGAGTAGCAGCATGGAGGTCGGATCGTCACCAAAATAAATAAATAAGTGGTAAATGACAAAGAAAATACACATAACCTTCCTCAGGCAGTGTGTTTGTACAGGGGACAGGAGACACCCCCTTGATGAGAAACTGTAAGAAATGATCGGGGAATCCCTCCGGAGTGGAGTCATGACGACTGGATCTGAATTATTTTGTTGTATTTGGTGGTTTGTGTTCCAGCTTTCGATCAGCAACTATATATCCATAATCCACCAGTTAAAGGAAATACATCTAATGTGTTGTGTTATATTAGCTGTACAATTTACCACATATGGTGTTCTTAGTTTCCATACCTCCTGTGTTTTACGAGCGACTTGGCAAACGGCATAAAACACGATTAAACGTGATAGGATATAAAACCATGCTCTTATCTACAACCTATAGAAAAGCAAAACGGCGTCAGTTTAGACGTAATTCTGTCCTCTGCTTACCGCATCATTTATGAGAAAACATTTCATAACATTAACACAACATATTCGAGGTGGTTTTAAAGCTCCCATGTCATGCTTTTCCGGTTATTACCCGTCCCCTTGTGTGTTATGAAGGTTTTTATGCATGTAAACGGTGTGCAGAGTCAAAACCCTCAAAGTACACCCTGTAGCGAGTAAAACTCTAACACAGAAAATACCTCCCCAAAACGCCTCGTTGGAGATACGTCACTGCCCATTTGAGTCTTCCATTTAGTTCCGGGTACGGCCTGATGTCATGCGGTACCCGGAACGAAATGGACCAATCCCGAAGAGCTATGGCCACACCCAGCGGCGCTGGCCGCACCCTCTGCCAGCCTAACATTTACTGTTGGAAGCTCTGGTTCAGTTCACAATCGATCCAGTCATGCCACTGCCAAGGACCTGTTTCCTGAAATGTGAGGAGAAATCTGAGCTGTTTGTCCTACCGACGGAAGAACCACGACGAAGTCAGTGGTTGAAATTTCTTTTTAACACTGTTCCTTCAGAGGTTCGAAGAACCGGCATTTCACAGACGAAAGCTTCCAAAACATTGCCCAGTTTGAGGCCGGATATGCACAGCATTTGAAACTGAAGGACGATGCTATTCCTAGTTTGTTTGGACCGTTTGGAGCAGGGGAAGATTCGGGTACACAACCTGTAAGTTTGCGTTGTTATTTGTGTAGTTATTTGTGTATTTATCAAACAAGACTGTTTAAATGTGTAAACTGTGTTGGACTGCTAAGCCATTGACACAGTGCTAACTGTGCTAACTAAGTTGCTAGCGTTTCCATATATCAACTCTAATATCAGCAGATGGCCTTGCATACATGTATCTCATAGCAGGAGAATGTCTGCATTCACACACAAAATACCTATTGACAGTATACTCCGGGTGATTTGCCGTGCGGTCAGTCGCGAAACGTAATTACATTATAGCTGGCGTAGCGTGTATGCTACCGATCTAACCCACGGAGCTAGACCTAGGTTTGGTCGGAAAAACATTTTTGTTATGCTACGTTGCTAGCGTTTAAATATATCAACTACAATGTCAGCAGATGGCCTTACATGTTTGTCATGGCAGGAGAATGTCTGCAGTCACACACACGGAATACTCATACAGTATACTCCGGGTGATTTACCGTACATTGTGACAGTACATACTGCATGTATAGCTAACGAGGCTAGCTGTATGCTAGCGCAAAACAATGTATTCATGCAAGTTACAATGTATGACCGAACGTAGCAGAATACCCGTATACGATTGCAATTATAAACACGTTATTGCTAGCCTAATATGAACCACTAGCTTTTGTTCATAGTAGTTTAATTACACTCCATTATAGTTGCCGTTCCTCCAAGCTAACGTTCATATCGTGTTAGCTACCAAGGTAAACAAAGCTAGGTTAGCATATTAGCAGGCAAGCTGTTCATTAGATAGATCCACACTCCTACCACAACTACTACTAACAAATCTAAAACAACTAAGTTTCTCTAATATTTTGTGATTTGCATTTGATTTCGTCCAGCCAGATCCTAGCGGACAATACATGACGGGGACGGGACTTCTACTACTACTGAGGCCTCGTGCTAAAAGGCACCGGCTGCGCCCAGGCAAGATGCGGGGAGGAATGGATGATATACCGTGTGTATATATGTATATTATGTTCATTTTGTACATTTCTAAAAATAAAGTTTAATGGAAATACTTAGTAGGCCTATCCTTTCTTCCCTGAATTATTTGCTCCTATAACATATCATTCATATATAGCAAACCATGATTTGATTTCTCATCAAACAGTAGTAGTTTATTACAGGTAAAAATAACTTACTCTTTGTTATGACCAGCTCGTAGGCCACAACGGAAAGGCAAGGAGACATACACGAGTTTACAAAACCACGGCACATTTATTGTGGTAAATAGGTGGTCGGGGAGAGAATCGCCGGGCCGCTGGGATTAATAGCACCGGCTACGGAGGTGTCCGTGATCGCGCTGATTACCCTCTTCAGCTCCACCCCACCGTAAGACCTGCAACACACCTGCACAAAGGCCCTGGGGCCGTCACACTCTTCTATAACAACAGTTGTAGGTTCAGTTCGGTTAGTTCGCGTATAAAATATCAGCTGTACCGATGCCATTATTACACTGATGTTCCCCGAAAAAAGCGGGCGGAGCCTCTCTGGTGGTTGACTAATCAGAACAGAGTGGCCGAGCTGACCAATCGGAGCACACTAGGCTCACAGGGAGGGGGGGGCAAGAGCTCCAACGAGTCGTTTAGTGGAGAGAGTGAATACTGCTGAATACACATGCTTGACCGAGATGCTGTATGCGAAACCAATGTGAGTTTGGAAAATTGCACAGTATACATCTATTTTAGTATACCTCAACAATGTAATTATGATCAGTGGAAATGGCCATGACATGGGCCCTTTAACACTATCAATACAAGAACTTTGACACCAAAAGTAACTCTGTACCTTGAAAATAACCCCCCACCCCTTGAAAATGAAAAAAATAACCCAAAAAGTGGCATTTTCTGCACATTCCGCCTGGTATGCATAAGCTATTCTTACTGTTTGCCTATATACTGTTGAATGAATGCTTTCAAACCCATTTGAGAATTAATAAACACTATTAATAGAAGAACTGTTACACCTCAAAGTAACTCTGTATCTTGAAAATAATCCCCCATCCCTCTTTAAAATTAAAAAAAGAACACAAAAAGAGCGTTTTTTTGGCTGTTCCGCTCTTTGAAATTCACTATTCTTACAGTCTGCTAAGACTAAAAGACTAAACTCATTTGGAAAACTTGATTAGATTTTTATTCCAAATACAAAACAGTTAAATCATTTTTATTCAGTCACATTGACATAGAAAGAACTTGAACTTGTCAGTCTTAAGTAGCACCTCATATTTTTCTTAGCCTTTCAAGACTTTCTTGGAATTTTGCATATTCCAGTGTGGTTCGGTCACTCCTCTTGCCTAGGTACGCCATGAGAGCATCTCCAAACTCCTGTGCCGTTTTCATCCTCCTCTTCCCACTGGGCAGTGTCACCTGGATTCTGAAGATAGGATCGACTTTAGGCAGAAGCGTGGTACTTTCTCTGGCAAACTGAACCTCAAGCTTCATCCTCTGCAGCTTTGCGTTGTTGTTCAGACTTTCATCCACAAGGAACTTCTCAACTTCCCCACTGTCAGTGAAGGGGCCACCTCTAGATTTCAGTGTGTCCAGCATGTCTAGTCTCTTCCTCTCCTTTCTTTGAGCCATCTCCTGTTTCTGAGATTGGCTATAGTTGTATAGAACTCATCCCGGACTTTTCTCTCGGACAATCGTATGTGTTGAAACTCTTGTGGTAGTAAATCTTCATCCATGTCTAGTTCAGCAACATCTGTGAAGATTTTTTTCCTTCCTTTGGGTTCTGCTCGCGCCTCACTCTCTTCACCCTCCTTTTGAAGCTGTGTGTCAGTCTCAGACATCTGTCTCAAAGCTGGGGTGTGCCCTCTTTCTCTTCATCGCTGCTGCAGCTGGATATCTCACCAGTTTCAATCAAGATATCTGTGATATGGTCCAGAGTTTGATATGAGAACTGCTGGTCTCTCTTCCTCTGGTACTCTTCGCTCCTCTCCCTCAACCTTTGGGTTCGCATCATGCTATGGTACCAGCTATGGAGGTGTTCTAAATTCCAACATTTCTGCAGCAAGCTGCTCCCTGAAAGTCTTCTGTGTGTGTGGCTTTGTCCTGCTGGGGTCACTCGTCATCTTGTGCAGCTCCTTGTGGAATCACCTGGGAAATTGAAGTTATATGGCCATTTCTTCCTCCAGTAGTCCGATCGGTTGGGAACGGTGACGAGGCCTGAGAAAATTATAATGGACAGGAAAACATAGAAATCCCTCACAGTCAGCATTTTCCAAACATGCTTCTTTCCAGCCTGCAGTCTTTTCAGGGCGTTGGCGTTCGTGTTGGAAATGATTGTATGAACCACTGAAGCGCTAAAAAAAAGTCTGAAAATGGAGAGGGGAGACCATGCTACAGTGGGGTCGAGCGCTGGGCCTGGGACCCTGGCTGGTGTGAAATTCAGTGGCTCTGGTGTTTGGTCATTCTCCTCTCTGTTGTGCCACCCGAGTTCTTCTTCTGTCATTCTGGAAGAGGAAGAACCTTGGCCACGCTTCCTGCGTTTTACACATTTATCTGATGCTTTTCCTTTTCCTGGCTGAGGAGCGGGAGCCCCACCTCGGCCACGCTTCCTTTGGTTTACAGATGCATCTGACGCTGCAGAAAGCTGGTAGAAACCAGACGATGGTAAGTGAGTGCTTTTTGGATGCAGGCTGAGTGGCCAATACTGGTGCAGATCTCTTTCTGGAGGAATGTGATGGTGAGGCAGGTGTGGCAGGTGTGGTCTGGGTGAAGTAGGCAGTGGTGAAGCCATTGCATCCTCATCTCCATCACTATGAAAAGAAATGTGGAAAAAACAAAGAGATTAGATTAATTCCTGTAATTCCTGTTTCCTTGGCAGTAAACATGCCATTTTGAGTGTGTGAATGAAACCCATTTAGTGACTATAGAGCCATTTCATCCCCATCACTTTGAAAAGAAACACTTTTTTTTTTTTTAGATAATGTCTCAGGGCTTCTTAAATTTATGAAACTATTAATGTGTAGCACCAGATTAACGGTAATAATCTCAGCTAACTGAAGATATGAACCATTTTTAGCTAAAAGAAACAAGAGTAATACCAAGCCTTAGAATTAGCATTTTGCGAAAAAATGCTAACTAATGCTAACGGAGTTTTGCACAGCACTCACTCTCAAAATGCCCTTATTACTTATCGTAACTGCACAAACAAGATATCCGATTAAAGCTGAGACTCCACATATTCCATACATGTAGTGTCATCACTGTACGACCCCGAATTTGCGGAGCTTTCAGCCAGAAAAGAGAAAGTAAACAACATCCGGTTTCAAAAATATTACAATAATTACATCTTACCTTTTTTGATTTGTGATCAAAAGTTGTGTTCAACGGAATAAAAACGCTGCTCAAGGTTAATCCAATGTGTCTGTGTCACGTAGAATTTTTTACTGATAATACATCATCATATTTATGGCAATAAACTGGGTATAAAGTTTTGCAGTCAAGGCTTGTACTTTCAGATGTGCTTCGTTTGTTTCTCTATTACCTCTTAATTATTTATTAACTATATGAATAATCGTACACCAAATAACTAAGTAATAGATAAAAACAGAGAGATTACATACCTTTCCCGTGGTGGAATTTCATCATCAGAGTCACAACGCTCCGGGTTCCGTTCTGGCTGCAAGAGGTCCTCGTCGTCTGACTCAGAATCAACAGGTAACATGTCTGCATCGCTGTCAGCATTAGTCACCATTTCCATTGCCTGTAAAGTCGTAAGCATCTCTTTCCTGCAAGCCATTATTACAAGTATAGCAAGTATAGCAAAAGTCCTAAACGCCAATCTTGTAGTCTGCTCCGTTATCTGCTGTCCGCTCTGCGCTCTGGGTGCTGCTGCAATTCCTCTTGTTTACGTACTAAACACTGCGTAGAGTGTGGTGCGTAGTGTGTGTGCCGTTGGCATTCACAATTTATACTTTACGCAGGACCATATCTATGGAACCCATTGGTCGATTTGAGTGATTTACACCTTTTTCTTAACCATTAGATCCAATAGAATCCGATGGGCAGTTCCAAAATCTACGTAAACATTACCATTGCGGAGGTAATAGAGAAACAAAGGAAGCACATCTGAAAGTACAAGCCTTGACTGCAAAACTTTATACCCAGTTTATTGCCATAAATATGGCAATAAATAAAAAATTCTACGTGACACAGACACATTGGATTAACCTTGAGCGGCGTTTTTATTCCGTTGAACACAACTTTTGATCACAAATCAAAAAAGGTAAGATGTAATTATTGTAATATTTTTGAAACCGGATGTTGTTTACTTTCTCTTTTCTGGCTGAAAGCTCCGCAAATTCGGGGTCGTACAGTGATGACACTACATGTATGGAATATGTGGAGTCTCAGCTTTAATCGGATATCTTGTTTGTGCAGTTACGATAAGTAATAAGGGCATTTTGAGAGTGAGTGCTGTGCAAAACTCCGTTAGCATTAGTTAGCATTTTTTCGCAAAATGCTAATTCTAAGGCTTGGTATTACTGTTGTTTCTTTTAGCTAAAAATGGTTCATATCTTCAGTTAGCTGAGATTATTATTATTATGAGAGTGCTACACATTAATAGTTTCATAAATTTAAGAAGCCCTGAGACATTATCTAAAAAAAAAAAGTGGGAGGGGTCGCCGGGCTTAAGAGGTTAAGCCCTAGAGCCCCCTGTACAGGGGGCAGTGGGGTGATTTTTCACGAAACTGTGTCTCAGGGCTTCTTAATATTTAAAAGCCTATTAATGTGTCATACCCATTTAACGGGAAGAAACTCAGCTAACTGACAATACGAACCATTTTTACCGAAATAAAACACAAGTCTCACAAGAAGCGTCTAAATGAGCCCTGAGGGAAAAAATGCTAACACACTTAGCACAGAACTCAAGGTAAAAATACCCTTATTACTTATCGTAACTGCAAAAACAAGATATCAGATTAAAGCTGAGATTCCACAGATTCTATAGGTATAAGTATCATCACTGAGCGATCAGAACTCGTGACAGGGGAAGCAAACAGACGTCACAACACGTAGCATTACGGAACATTCACGGGAAATCGTCTCAAATGAGCTGTTATTCTGATCAATAGTCGTGTTCAATGGCATTAGAATTCTAAAAACGCCGCTGAAGGTTAATCCATAGGTTAATCCAATGTGTCTGTGTCACTTGGAAAGGATTACTGATAATCCATCATTGCATTTTTATGTAAAAAACGGAGATTTCATATTATTTTTATTTTTATAAATCTCTCTAAAGAGGTCAAATGTCACTTGCTTTGCATCAATCTTGATACAGGGTACTTATTATATGTTGTAGTTTGGATTCCTAAAGCTTTTAGTCTACCATCCCATCATTCAAGGGTGGTTTTCACTATAAGTAATGGGGTTTTTTTTAGGCGGAGGTAAGAATTTACCTTTTTTTAACAATGTTCCATCTGAATTTACTCTGACACAGAAACATCTATATTGATTCTGACACTTCTACATCCAACTCACAGATGTAACCTTGCTTTGAGAAAAAAGATTATTAATTTAACCCTTTTAGAAGTGAAGTTATAGTCATTTGTTCTGGGCATGTCATTTTCGAGCCTGAAACCTGAAAAACAGGCTCAGGGCTTAACCTGTTCCACTCTGAGTTGGATGTAGAAGTGTCAGAATCAATATAAATGTTTTTTATTTTAAAGAAAATTCAGATTTTACATAGTAAAAAACTGTAAATTATAGTGTCCGTCCAAAAATTATTTTTTACAGATAGTGAAAACTACCCTTGGATGATGGGTTAGTAGACTAAAAGCTTTAGGAATCCAAAGTACAACATATAATAAGTACCCTGTATCAAGATTGATGCAAAACAAGTGAAATTTGACCTTTTTAGAGAGATTTAGCCAAAAACTGGGCCATCTGGGGTCATTTGGTGGATTTGACCTATCTCTGGCCCCCCTTGCTCGATCTGGTTGGTTGACATACCCTTGTGACCGTTAGAGCCAATAGAATCGAAGGAGGAGACTCACATACACATACATTATAAAGAAAAAATGTTGCCGCTTCGCGTGTGGAAAGCGAAACTAAACTGGAGGAATGTCTCCTTCTGGAGTTTGGAAACTAAAACGCAGTTGTATTGCTTATGGATTATCAGAAATAATTTCAAAGAAGGCACAGACACATAGGATGAACCTATGGATTAACTGCAGCATCGTTTTTTTATCATTTTAATGCCATTGAAGACCACTTTTGACCAAGGTGAGCCATATTTACATGTTAGCTTCTTGGCTCCACATGTGATGATGTACGCTTTCGTTGATAGCGTCGCGAATGTTTATCACTGAGTGTTGAGGTGGGCACCGTTAGATTCAGTGTCTCCAGGACACCAAAAAATAGTGTTTGGTTGTGCATCTAGGATAAGTAATAAGGGAGTTATGAGCAGGGGTTAAATTGGGATTTGACATGTGGGGGGGCTGTTTTTTTTGGGGGGGGGGGGGGGGGTTGCGGGATAGCGGGCTATATATGAGGCCCAATCCTAAAGCAACTGCTCCTGTATCAGATGCACTATTTGATGCCACCAATCGATGCACTATTTGATGCCACCAATCGAGACAGTAAACATAGAAAGTATGTTAATTAGACCGTCTTTTTATTAGTATTATTTAACTGGAATGAATTTACATTTGAAACTATTAATATATACACAAACATTTTTCACAAATTACAGACCTTCAAATTGCCATTTTAAGTCAACATTTCTCTGCACACTTACTCAAGAACATTAAAAAAAAACGATATGAGTACAGAGACATTACCCTATCTGAACTGATTGAGGAATGAAAGTCCACATCAATATAAGCAGTTCAACAACATTACTGTATGTACGACCAGCTACTTCATCAAATCCCAGATGGGCTGATAGGGGGAAGCCTGTGTAGTCGTGCATCTTTGTCTACAGGCTAAATGGTCTGCAGACCTTCTGGTAGCCACCCACTTCCTCACATATTTCGTGGGGTCCCAAGAGGTAAGAGGAGGTCCAACCATTTGAATGAACATTAGAGCAGAGACATTTTGAGTTTTCAGTTGTGAGCGCATTGATGTTACAACTGCATTCATTTCTGAGAAACCCCTCTCACACTCTGCACTGCTCACAGCAATGGTTTCCACTGCATTCTTAAGCTTTAGAAGGGACATGTGCATCGGCACACTGGCATTCTCCTTAAAGTCCCTATAACTTTGCTTAACACCAGAGAATCCGATTTTCAAAAGAGTGCATAGCTCTCTTATTTCACACTCACCATACATTAATGGTAGAGGGCTTGGCCATGTCTTTGTATCAAGAACATTGACCTTTTGAAAGAGGGATTCCTCTTCACTTGTGACCATCCTTGTTTCCATGCTTTTGCATAGTGCTGCATAAAACTTTGTGGGATCTATTATCTTCTGCCTTGGGTCATTGCGTAGTGTTATGCCATTAAAAACACCTTGCTGCTCTGCCTCACATGCGGTTTTGTAGAACAGACCACTGTCTGGGTTCCTGCTCATGGTTTTAAAAACATCTAGCTGTCTTTTGATCAGATTTACTGATTGAGACAGTCTAATGTCTCTCGACTGTAGAGCCTCAGACAGGTCTTTCAGCTCCTCAAGTGCATCCATCATCAGTCCCAGGTTTTTAACAAAAGCAACTGACGTCAGCTTTGCTGCTAGCCCCTCATACATGCATCTATCATTTGAGGAACGGTTCACATCTACACTTGCAGATGTGAGGTGATGATAGAGTGCAGCATACATGGTCCAAACAGCATTTACTGTCCTAAAAGATGAAGCCACCCACCTTATCCCGAGGACGCGACCAATCTTCCTCAAGCATACACCTACTTCAGAGACTGCAGCATCAAGCTCTCTTAAGTTCTTTGGTGACTGATGATAGAGACAGTATAGCTTGTCAAGAAAAGCTGTGAAGTGGTTGGTTTCGGTGCAGTGCTTGACTGCATCTGACACAGACAACTCCAACCTATGGTTTAGACAATGCCAGCCTATGAGGCCTGGGTACTTACTTCTCAGTTTTGTGTAGACACCATTCTTTCTGCCTACCATTACGGAGGCTCCATCTGAGCAGAATCCCACCAGACATTCTTTCAGAAAAGCATCATCAAGACCATATTTCTGTAGACAGTTCAGTAGTTGACTAATGATTCCATCTGCAGTTGTACTCTCTAGCTCGAGAAGATCTAGGAAGAAGGTCACTGGCTCTGAGCTATCAACTGACGTTCTTAGGTACACAATAAGACAAGACTTCTTGCTTAATGATGTGCTTTCATCCACAAGAACAGTTAGCTTTGGTCGGGTCACTTTGATACTTGCCAATAGGGCTTCCCTCATTTCTTTTGAGATAAAATGTACAATGTCTGTACATGTAACATTTGAGTGGAGTACGCGGCCAACATTTACACCATTTATCATTTGTAGTTCTATTAGTCCAGGATGATCAGAGTATGGCCGGTTATTTTTTGCAATGTAGTATGCCGTTCGAAAGACATTATGGGTGGAAGCCAAAATGTCTTTTTGAGTTTTTAGAAAGCTTGATTTTAAAGCTTCTTCATTTTTGTCTTTTTTACTATGTCCTGTGCTAA